TTTCTAGTGTTTGCATTTCCTTTAAAGCCCAATTGTGAATAGCAAAAAATATTTTAGGATCTAGGAAAATAAGGTGGAGGTGTATATGGGGTGGGGGGAATAAGTCTTTTCAAGGTGTTTAAGGAAGAAAAAAATAAAGAAACAAGTATAGTTCCTAAATAGATTGTTTTTTTTTTTTCCCATGTACCTAATTATTTCTCAATTGTAGAAGCACATTAGAATTTTCTGGGGAGGCTCAGCACCTGTACTCAGTGGTTAGGCTGCCAGCCACATATACTGGGGTTGGTGGGTTCGAACCTGGCCTGGCCTGTTAAACAACAATGACAACTACAATAACAACAAAAACAAAAACAAATAGCCAGGCGTTGTGGTGGGTGCCTGTGGTCTCAGCTACTTGGGAGGCTGAGGCAAGATAATCACTTAAGCCCAAGAGTTTGAGGTTGCTATGCACTGTGATGCCATGGTGCTATACCAAGGGTGGCATAGTGACACTCTGTCTCCAAAAAAAAAAAAAAAGGAATTTTCTGAGTAGTTTTAAAAATACTACTTTGGGGGCTCCTTTTCACATATAAAATGCAATTGGTTTATGATTGGGGCTAGGCCTCATTATTAAAAAAAAAAAATCCCAGGTGATTCTAGTACACAACTAGTATTGAAATCAATTGTTTTCAATTTTTCTTAGGTCTTACCCTCACATAATTTTGGGCCACTTGTGACTGACTGCCTCTGCCATCTACAGTGGTTCTCAACCTTCCCAATGCCACACCTTTAATACAGTTCCTGTGGGTCACGACCCACACTGATCTAGAAGAAAACAAAACTCTATGGGCCAAAGAAATTTCCACTATCATTCATGAACTTATTCTCTTGAGGTAGGGCAGATAAGGAGAAGATTATCTTCATGTTGAATGTGAAGGCAGAGTAATTTCCTTCATATGGAGGCAAAGTGATATTGATAGTTTTCCAGCTACATTAGGAGGAGTAAGGAGGCACAATTCAGGCTAATAGGAAGTCCAGATCACAATTAAAACTTTCCTTAATTATCCTGGGTAAGAACAGACCATACAATATCCCTCAGGGAAGAATCAAGAATGTTTCCACAGAGATTATATTTCTTTGTCTGCTTAATGGTTCACTGCTGGAAGTTATTAATTACTCTTACTTGGCCCTGTAGAATCCCAGTTTATGGCCCTGGCTTTAAAAACATCTAGTATTTATGCCCTTGTGTAATATCCTCCCAATATATGTAGGGTATAAACTAGGTTATTAGAAAAAACTATGGCTTCCACTTGGAACACTTTCTATCACTCTCTCTGACTCTTTGCTCTGGGGAAAACAAACTGTCATGTAAGTTGTGGTATGGCGAGGCCCATGTGGTGAGGAAGTGATGTATCCAACAAACAGCCAGGACCTGAGGACCTAAGGTGGATCCCTTTCTGAGTTGAGTGTTATGATAGAAGTCTATACCCTTGGTCAACACCTAGATTGTAGCTTCAGAAAGGATTCTGACCAGAGACACCTAGCTGAACCATCCCTGCATTCCTGAGCCCCATAAACTTGGAGATAATCTATATTGGTGTTTTAAGCCATTAAGTTTTAATTTGTTACACAACAATAGATAACTAATACATACATGGCAAGATTCATTAAGAGAAGAATTTGTCATTTTTAAGCTAAATGTTATTATCCATCTCACATTTCAGTTATTAGAATACCAATAATATGAAAGAAAATAATTCTGTATATTTTCTCATAAATTCAATGATGAGGATTTGAAAAATGAAACCATATAATAATCAGGAAGTAAAAGGATAATACCACTGGCTTTTTCTAAGGTGAGAATAAATTCCTAGTTCCCTGAGATGTATAGTTTGAGAAAGGAGGAATAAAAGATTGTTGGGAAGAGACTTGGACTATTATTTCTTGCTTCCTGCCACATCTCTTCAATTTAAAAGAAAGCAATTTTTTTTGATATACTATTCAAAGTTGGAGGATAGGTGGGAGCATATGTGGGCCTGAAGAAAAATGTTCCCTTCATTGAAGGCACCAGCTTGTTGAATAAATACTATGCAGAAGTTCAATAAGGAATATCTGACAACAATGGTGTAGCAGTTACACATAAAGTTTTTATGACCTATTTTAAGATACACAGAAGAAACTCAAACCAGAGAGACCAATTAAAAGATAATTTCCAAAAACTCTGTTTCAGAGTGGTGATCATAGAGATGGTCAAGGCTGGTATCATCTGGTACGTTAGTCATAGAGGCCCACTAACCAGTACCCATCCATACTGGGTTTCAAATATACATAATATCATTCCTGTACATGATGAGGTTAGATTATGGTTTAGTTTCCTTTAGCCATGTGTTATTTATGTGTAAAGTTGGTCTAAGGGAAGTAGAGGGATTCTTGTCTTAGTCATGCCCAAGTAAATGACAGTAGAGTAAGGGTATAAATGAAGCTGTGTGATAAATCTTGTAAGTCATTCCAAAGTACCAATTTTGAGAAAGGAGGAATAGAGGATTGTTGGGAAGGGATTTGGACTATTATTTCTTGCTTCCTGCCAAATCTCTTCAATTTAAAAGAAAGCAAATGTCCTTGATAAACCGTTCAAAGTTGGAAGATAGGTAAGAGCATATGTCCGCCTGGTGTTATTGGAAACATTTTCATACTAAAGCAAACATAGATGTGTGATGGAGTAAAATGCAAAAACCACATGAGTTTTAAGAGAAAAGAAATTTTCTGTCTTTGGTGGGCTACCTTTGCGTTGTTCCCTAGATTCTCATTCTATACCTCTATTATTGTAGGTATTTTGGTAGAAAATAGGGCAACTGCTTTAGGGTTGCTTTTATTATATCTGGTTCCACTAGTTCTCTTTATATTCTTCAGTACTCTAGAGAAAAAGAGCAATCTCTAAGAAATAGGAACTCTAAGAATTCATCTCCAGCATTTTCCTACTCTTCTGTCATTTAATTGAATTTGCAGACAACTCAAAGGTTGATGATTTATATATGGATTATCTATACCCAAATGTTTTTGTCCACTTATTGTATTAAAAGTATCTTTTGTGTTATTTCTTTGTTAACATTTTGTGTTTCTTTATTTAATTTTTCCTTCCTAATTGTTAGAAACCCATGTATTTAATTTTCTCTTTCATGTATCTTATGTATTTTCTTTTCTATGTTTATATGGATATTCTGCACAATGCTTTCCATTCATAAATAAAGGGAGGGATATAAGAGTTGAACAGGAATCAGAATTGGAAATTACATTTCTTTTCTCCTTTTGAGTCGAATCATTATAGCATAGATAATCACTGTGTGAAGTGAATGGCCAAAACATGGTCATATTTGTGTGCAAACACAAAGATAACATCACAATAAAAAAAACAGGATACCATTAGCTAATAATCCTAATAATCTAAGAGTAGAAAGCACATGCTAAGTGACATATATATACTCATGTATTTGTATAATCCTATTCAGCTACATGAGTTTGTGTGTATTAAAATATCAATTTCCTGGTCTACAAATGAGTAAAAGGAACAGAGGCCTCTTATAGTTTTAAGTGTATGTAACTAGAACAGATTTTATTTTCTAAAATTTGCATCATATATGTAAAAACAAAGAATTAATTTATTTTTAGAAAGATTTTGTAGACACCCTATACTACCAGGAATGGATTCACTATTAAATATTGGTTTTGCCTAATTTGGTATTGCTGTGTAATTTGATGGTAACTGTAACTCCACAGATAAAAAAGTATTTGGTCCTAAAATAGTGCATATCCTGTATATAGTTACACTATTTCAATTTAATTTCTGTATAATAATGTTTCACTCTAACTTTTAAAAATGAAATAAAATTAGTTTCACTATGAATTTTCTCTTATACTTACACATTAAATGAATTCACATGAAAAATTAATTATGGACAGACACTCTGCTAGATACTAAGGAAAGAAATGTTAAAAACATAAGTCTTCTGTGCTCTATATGTTCTCAAGATTCTAGTCACAGAAGCCTAATCTAGGAACCTAGGCTAGTAAAGTCTTTGAATCAGATGATAGCTCAGTATATAATCCATGCTGACTCCTGAGAATATATTTGAGGAAGGACAATTCTTTTTAGCTTCCAGTAGCCTGGTCATGTAAGTTAAGCACAAGAAAATAAAACACATCTATTGTTTCTATCGACCTAGACTTTTCATGTAATTATCATCTGTAAATGGATTATCAAATAATATTTTATATAAAGGGACTTAAATGACAAATATTTTGAAATTAAAATCACAATGATTATCATACCAACAGTTTAATATAAATAAATGTTGACTTCCCTTCAGTGAACATATAAAATGCTACCAAAATCTGCTGCCAATAGAAGAATTTTAAAATAGAAATTCATTTTTCTGAAAAGTCCATTATCTGTAGTCTGCTCTCAAGCCTTCATGATATTCAGGGACTCTTTTCCCTAAGTATATCTTCTATTTAGGGCATTGTGCCTTTGCCATCTAACAGGAAAAGAACTTTTGATGCTGCTACATTTTGAATGGCAGAGATTCAAAATTAAAGATTAGAAAATGGTTAAGTTTAAATACACATATACATAGTTTTTTAATATGATACTTTTCTAGTCATGCCCTCAAATATATTCTTACTTTAAAATCCTATAAATTCTTTTATTTGTAATGATTTAACTTATATAAATAACTTTAATTGGCAACAATATGTGGCAAAACATTTTTCACATATTTTTACTATTCCCTGTGAGACATCTATTGTAAGCATTGCTGAAGGCTGTCGTTTTTGTCTGTCTTCCAAGATTTGCTGGTCCAAGTGTTATGGACTAGACTTGGTATTGGTACAGGGGGGAGAGGAAACTTGCAGTTGAGCCAGACAGTTTTGTTATCCCTTTAAAATTAAAAGCATATGAAACAGATACAGCTTATTAAGTTGTGTTTTTTTATAAATAACATAAACTTAAATAACAAACAATAAAGTTCAAATACAACTTAAAATAGAGTTTAATGCTGGTAACCACAGGGAAAAAAAGCATGATTATTTGTAGAAAGAACATTATTCAAAGCCATATTCCCCAATATGAATTATACAAAAGATAGATTATGTTACTTGAAAAAAAAAGGTAGAGACTTCTGAATTTTACTTTTAGGGATTATAAAATGTCATTTTGTGGCAAGTGAGATGAAGTACAATATTATCAACATTATTGCTATTTTATATACAAGATTTTTGAAAATATCCCCTTTTATTTTGAGCAGCATTGGGAACTTTGTTCATTAATAGGTTCAATCATGTTCTAATCCTACAGTTTTGAAAACTACCTCTTTAATTCAATTCCATAATAGAATTTATGAGAATATTCTTTTTTAATTAAAGTGTAAGTGGCTTATAATTTTTCTTACTAAAAAGCATTTTAAAATACTGCTCATCTTCCATAGTTAGTATTGCCTTGATTATGTGACAAATCATTCCAGCAGCCTTTAGGTCTGACATATCTTATGTAACATCATCTGCATTATAATTATAGCAGCTATTTTATAAGCAGATAAGAATATTTAAATAATCATTATCAGATACTCAAATCTAGCATACTCTTAAGGGTAAATTAATTTAAGAAAAAAATTACTATTACTAACACCATGATTGTACAACCAGTTTTACAAGTTTTTACAACCTTTAGTTACTAAATCTGATTATTGTGTATACTTTTCAAATCTTTCTTTAATGCAGTGTCTTAACATAAACATAAATGCACAAGTCCAGCTTGATCAATTTTCAGTAGTTTTCCAGCCTTTCTTGGATACTTTTTATAAAAAGAAAAGAAAAGAAAAGAAAGAAAACAGTCCACTTAAAGAAATCTCCCTGCTGGAACTGGTTTCTTATATATCATATGTGATTAAGTTATTGCCATAGGAAGGAAGTGGGCTGTTTTTTGTTCTTTCTTCGTTTTTTTCCCTCTTACAGGAATCCCCTTTTGATTTAAGGCAACAAACATTTCTCCTCCATTGTGCGTCCATTTAGCTGATGCATATGTGTTGTAGTGGTTTTCCAGAATTAATTCTTTGAAGTTGCAATCTTCATTGCATTCTTTCTGTTAAAAGAGCAAACAACATTATCCAAACGGTTTTTAGAGAGGCTCAACCAAAGAGTAAGCAGGTATTATTCAGCAGAATTGAAAAATACATGACTTTTTTTAAGATTCAAGTTGAGTAGGCCTATTGCAGTTTATTATATATACTTGCATAGTATATTTGCAAAACAAAGTCATTTTAAATTTTAAAACAGATAACATAATACTCATTTAGTCTATGCAGCGTGGTTTCAAAAATCTAGCTTTTTAGCAGTGTCTACTTTTTTTTAGTATGAGTAAATTAATTAAACCTCATTTTGCTCTTTGCAAATCACACATTCTCTAACCAATGGAAATTAGAAGAGTCTCTGCCTCCCTCAGGTGAGGAACATATTTTATAACTTTTCTTCATTTACTACTACACTGCCTTTGATGGTAATGGAAAATAAAAAGTTAATTTATTTGTGTATCTATCCAACCATTCATTCACTCAATTTAGCTTGTGCCAGGCATTATGCTGAGCTATGGGAATACATAAGAAAGCCAATTATACTTTATTATAGTGGGATGAACTGTTACATATTTTGCATTGTAATCAAGTGGGAACAATGTGAATGCTTACAGTTCAAAGCCAATGATTGTAGATTGATGTTGATAGACTGAGCACTTTAGGACTTTTTTTTCATAAGAATTTTCATATCAGCAATGTGCAAGTTGAGTGAACTTTAGCAAAAAAAGCTTTACTACTAACAAATGGAAATTTTAGATTTTAAGTATCTAAAATGCACGTGGGATTTAAGAACTGGAAGGATACATAAAAGCATTTTACAGATGAAGAAACCAAGTTCAGAAAGCTTAAACAATTTGCCCACAGTCACACAGAAATCATTTTTATTGGTGCCTGAGTATAAGGTGTTTGTTTTTTTTTATTAAGTCATCTGTACATAGATCATGAATACATTTATGCCATTATGGGATTCAATGTGTTGATTATTGGTACACTATGCAGTTGGAGAGAAATTAATTTCATTTTTACTTTTCAGAAAGGCAAGATATTTTTGACAAAATTAAGTTTGAAAAATCTATTCAAGCTATCAGTTATTAATACCTTTGCATAGAGTTTTCCTTCCTTGTTCATTGCAAGATAGTATTCACTTTCTACCCCTTTGATTGCCACAATTCCGACTGCCACTGTCCTGATTTCCATGATATCTGCAAGAGATCATAGAAAGATATATCAATTAAGTTTTCAAGTTTGCTGGTTATCCAAGAATGTCTATCTTCATTTTTATTTTAACCAGAAGTTGTTAAAATTATTAATGTGACTATTTACTTAGCCCAAGACCCCTACCCATAGTACATAAACACAAATATCAGAGTAGTTATTAAATATGAGAAGTACAAAATGATTTTTTATTTTGTAGAAAAAGATACCTGTATTCAAAGAAATAGTTAAAATATTCAAATTAAGCTTTTTATTTCCTAAACTTAATTTCTAATTTACTGCAATAGTAACAGTAATAGCTAATTTTTATTGAACTCATACCATATGCCAAAGATTGTTCCAATACCTTTATGTTAGCTATGATAGTTAGTAATGTTAACTCATTTAGTTATCCCTGTAGACTATGAAGTAGGGGACCTTATTATCCATTTAAGAAATCAAAAATTGAAATACACAGTAATTTGCCCCATTTTTTGTACTTTTTAAGTGCAGAACTATAATTTGAACCCAGCTTTTTGGCTCTTAACTATTATATTAATTAATTATTATATAATATGCTTACTATGAAAGTAATATAGTAAACTAATATCTTTCCTTTTCTATTGGCTAAACTTTTCCTTAAAAAGTTTTGCTGACAAAGGAGGTCTTGAAAGTACTGAAAGTGGATAATATTCCTATTAAAGTGATGATAAAGAAAGCCTACTGCCTTTAAAAAAGTGATTGTTTTAAACTGACAGTATTTTGATACATGAAAGACTATTTAAAACAAAATTATAAATTCTGTTTATATAATATTTAATAACTTTATACTTCTCTAATTAATTTTTTAATCTTTGCTGATCATATTGGAACAAAAATAAGAAGGAAGGTAATTAAAATAAATATATTTACATATATATTTCTAACAATCAATACAACTCTATACAGTTGTTATTCCTCTGAAAAAGTATCTTTGTTGAAATTGTTTTTACAAAGTACATGTTATCACAAGAATGTTAGCCTACTATTTTCTTTCATTTATATTTCTTCCTTAAGTACTATATTTTAATGTACTAAAAAGAGTAAAATCTCCATAAATTTATTAAAATGATATAGGTAGGAATTGAAAGTTTCATTCACCTTTTATATAACTTGTTGTTAATTATACTTTGTACATGAAGGTACAGCCCTTAGGCGTTGTCTTACTTGTGCCTAATAAAATGCAAAGAAAATTCCAAGTGAAAATTATCCGTGTAAAATTAGATCTCCAGAAATTGTTTTCTAAAACATTCACTTAATTAAAAGAAAATCTGATTTGCCCCCATACCTTCACTTCACTCTCTTATTTATTCTTTTGGTTTTGGTTTTCTTATCTGGATAATAAAATTGTTGTATACGTCATTGGGAATGATTGTAGCCTACTAATACTTGTCATCTGCCTCACATATACCCTGCTTACAGAATTCCTTTACCCAAAGTACTATACTTTGCACTAGTCAGAGCTAAGTTGGGAGTTTCACAGCTGCTCATCTATAAATTGGACTTTATGAAGCAAAAGTGCAAAGGAATAAATAGTAATTTTTTAAGCATTTATGAAGCATTGTCAGATTACATCGAACTATACTGTAATTTCTGTATACAAATTAAGAAAAACAACCCTGATTTCTGAACTCTAGAAGTTAAAATTCAGTAAAAACAGTAATCATATCTGTGTTGTGTGTGTAGGTATACATATATGTATTAATTAAAAGAGAAAAAAGAATTTTGAAGAACACAGGCCTGAAGAGATTACAGAAAAATTTAATCATTGCTTACAAGTACATGAAGGATTATGATGTTGGCAAAATCAATACTCTATCAATCCTGGCATTATAGTCTGTTTTGCTCTATATCCTATGTTCCTTTTTATTCAAGAAAACTCAAGAATGAAGAAATTAAAATGTTATCACTCTTTGTTCAGGTGTACAGTGGGAAGCAATGTTCCTTTTAGTCTGCATAAAAATACACAATATTTATGTATTAGTTAGCTACAATTATACTTGGTCCTTTTGTCTACAGTATATCCATTGTCTCATATAAGACAAATATAAGAGCTTGTCTTTGTTTCTGTGATCCCTATTTGTGTTTCAGAGGATTATTCATATAAGTAGCACTCGTAGTAAATTTGTTCCCAAATACATAAAGCATATCGTAAGGTGTGCCAAATTGTTAACATAATAATCATAGTAGTATAGTGGTAGAGTTCAAAAATATAAATGAGAGAGACAGCAGCTGATGATTTAGAACATGAACAATGAGACAACAGGCCGGGCACGGTGGCTCATGCCTGTAATCCTAGCACTCTGGGAGGCTGAGGTGGATGGATACTTGACCTCAGGAGTTTGAGACCAGCCTGAGCAAGAGCAAGACCCCGGTCTCTAAAAAATAACTGGGCACTATGGTGAGCACCTTTAATCCCAGCTACTTGGGAGGCTGATGCAAGAGGATCACTTAAGCCCAAGAATTTGAGGTTGCTATGATGCCACAGCACTCTACCAAGGGCAACAAAGAAACTCTGTCTCAAAAAGGGCGGGGTGGGGGGGAACAATATTTCAAGCATAGCATAAATTTGCTATTTAGAATATCACCTTACAAAGTAGGGACTATGCCCCAAGTGGATTTCCTAATTTTTTCCTGTGCTTCATTTTTGCCTGTATCAAATTGGATTGAAAAGTGAGGAACTTTGGTATAAAATTATATTACTTAAAAAAAATTCTCCAACATTTACTTTCAGAATTTTCGGTGTTCCTCTAATCTTGTATTTCAAAATTGGTATTAATTCTCTGGGTATTTTTTATTGGCAAGATTTTTGGGGGGTGGGAATAGAATCTCACTCTGTCCATGGGCTAAAGTACAGTGGTGTCAATAGCTCACTACTGGGCTAATGCAATCCTCCTGCCTCAGCCTCCTGAGTATCTGGAACTACAGGTATGTTTCATCACACTTGGCTAATTTTTTAACTTTCATAGAGATGGGGTCTTGCTGTGTTGCTCATGCTGTTCTCAAACTCCTAGACTCAAGTGATCCTCTTCCCTCAGCCTCCCAAAGTGCTAAGATTATAGGAATGAGCCATTGCACTGAGCGTAATAGCTTTTTTATTTTAAAGTGCTTTGACTCTCCTGTTTGAAAGCTTATTTTTTAGTATCTCAATACACAGACATCCACGTCTTACTCCCAATATATGGAATATTTTTCCCTGAACCTTTTAGGCTTTATATTTAAACGAAAGTTTTAAAGGGGAACCTATTAATATGTCTGTGCTATAATTATAAGTAAACTTTACTTTAAAGTCAAAAAGGTAGAGATAGTCATTCATTTTTGTCCTTGACCAAATATACCTTCTTGGGCACACTACACATCTACAAATACACATCTGCAAAACATATCCAATATATCCAAACTATACAAAGACCTCTTAAAACACAATAAGCGGGGGAAAGCCTAAGTTTAACAGGGGCTATCTGAACAGACATCTCACCAAAGAAGATACACAATTAGCAAATAACTGTGTGAAAAAATACTTAATATCACATATCATTAAGGAATTGCAAATTAAAATAGCAATGAAATACCATTATACAGCTATTAGAATGACTAAATCCAAAAGCTTGACAATACTGCTTGCTAGTAGGGATGTGAACCAATTAGAACTCTCTTTCATTGCTAGGGGGAAATTGCAAAATGACCATTTCTTAAAACTAAACAGACTCTTACTATATAATCCAGCAATCATACCCTCAGGTATGATAATTTACCCAATTAAATAAAAAACTTAAGATCCACACAGAAACCTGAACATTTTTTAATGTTTATGGCAGATATAATCATAAACATCAAACCCCGAGGCAACTAAGGTATCCAGTAGGTGAATAGATGAACTGTGGTAATTCATAATTATTTAACAACAAAAAGAAACAAGATATAACACCACAAAGAGACAACAAGCAATCTGAAATACACATTGCTAATTGAAAGAAGCCAGTCTGAAAAAGCTACATACTGTATTATTCCAACCATATGACATTCTGGAAAAGGCAAAACTTTAGAGACAGTAAAACCATTGGTTACCAGGGTCTTGTGGAGGGAGAGAAAAGATAAAAGGTGAATCACAGTGGATATTTAACTCTGTAAAGCTATTCTGTGTAATACAGAAATAGTGGTTACATGATATGCACTTTTCAAAACACATTAAATTGTACCAAGCAAGGAGTGAAACTTAATACAAATTATGGACTTTAGCTAACAATATATATCAATATTTGTTTTTATTATACTTTTTATTGAATCATAACTGTGTACATTTATGGGGTATAATGTGCTGATTTGTTATGCAATGTGGAACGCTTACATCAAACTGATTAACATGACCATCACCTCACTTACTTATTTGTTATGGTAAGACATTTATAGTCTACTTTTAATAGTTTTGAAAAGTACCATTGCATTGTGCATAAGACTCTCACTTTATCTCCCTCAGTAGAGCGCCGTGGCATTGTAGCTCACAGCAGCCTCAAACTCTTGGGCTTAAGCAATTCTCTTGCCTTAGCCTTCCATATAGCTGGGACTATGGGCGCCCACCACAATTCCTGGCTATTTTTAGAGACAGACTCTCACTCTGGCTTAGGCTAGTCTCAAACCTGTGAACTCAGGCAATCCACCCACCTCAGCCTTCCTGAGTGCTAGGATTACAAGTGTGAGCCACTGTGCCCAGCCTTGTATCAATATTTGTTAATGCAGCGTGTTAATGATGGAGGAACTGTGAGGTGAAATGGATGGTATATGGGAACTCTGTTAACTGCTCAACTTCTCAGTAAATCTAAAACTTAACACAAAGTATATATTTTAAAATATAGTCTGTGTTTTAATTAATAATAGGATGTGATTAAATGTTGAGAAACTATTTGTATTAATATTTTAAATGATTTATTATTGTACCAAATATGTAGAACATATGATGTTTATTATTGAT